CTGATACCTGATTCATCTCCTACTGATTGTGGGGGACTTTTTATTATTTTTTTGTATTACTACAGAAAACAATGCCAAAAGAGTTTAAATAATACTTCAATGGATATTTATTCATTCTTAATATATCCTGAATATTCATTAATTTTAGCTAGATATAGATAAATTTAACCTTTTACGGATACGGTGGACGAATAATGGTTGTCAAACATTATTTATAATACTAAACAAATAAACTAAAGTTAATATTGTATAAGTAGGTACATTTTGGTCTACAAGAAAACTCGTTTGAAACTTTGATCGTTATAAAATACACTGATGAGCGACGAAATGAAAAGATACTCGTACATTAGTCTACGAGTAAAAATATTTGATTTTAGAACACGGAATCATGTCTCTACAAATAAATTTATTTAATACTAGCTGTATCCCGCGGTTTCGTCCGCATGAATCGATACATAAAGTATCCTTTCTATTAACTTACTCGTGTACGAAATTGTATTTAAATCCGTTCGGTAGTTTTTGTATAAAAGAGTAACAAACATCTATCCATCCATCCATCATTACAAACTTCTGCGTTTATTATATTAACTAGTTTTTACCCCCGACATCGTCCGCGTGAGCAGGATGAGATGCTCACTGATCGGAATAAGAAGTAGTCTATAACCTTCTCCATTTCATATATTATGTGTATAGGTATCAAATGTCATAGTAATTGATTAAATCGATACAGCACTATAAGGTAAAAAACAAACAAACTTACATTCATATTTATAATATTAATAAGAAGAGGATAGGATTTTTGATGGGTGAAAATGGTATGGCAACCCCACCTGCGCTAACGGGATACGCTGGCGGAGCACCAATGAGGGGTGATAGATGAGAATAAAAACAGGTCAGTTAGCCCATCATGATAAATTCATCAGGAATTAACCATGATAGTTTCCAGGGAGAACCGCGAGGAGGTCGACGTGGTTGGATATATTGTTAGCAATGGGATTCTCAGTCTCCATTACAAACAATACCTTTTCCCCCAATAGGATAGGATTATACATGAGTAAATTGGTACAGATGTCATCCTGCATGCTTGACAATATAATAACCATATATCGTCGAGTTGGTCTATACATGTATTGAGTCCGCGAATATTTTACTTACAAATAACATACCTAAATATAATATAAATCAAAGACTACGAGTGAGTCAGTTATTTTTGTGTGGCCAACACATCTGTTTTGTTTCAGTTAACAAAAACATTTACATCGGAACGTCACTAGGTGCTTTGAAGTGGCCACTAAGACGATGAGAGCTTGACACATTTTCTGCTCGGTATCTGCATAATCTTTGATGTTAATATTTAATTTTTGTCCCGTCATCTTTTATTAGGGTTGCCATGTGCCGGGATTTCCCCATATCCGTTCCAATTGAGTGATCATATTTAAAAAAAAAAAATATTTATGAGTAATTTCTAAGGTACTGTTTTTTTTATAAGACTGGGAATTGTTAACAAGCCAACAGTTCGTCTGATGGTAAGTGGTAACCGTTGCCTGTGGCCACGAATAACATTATACATAGCATATTTTTTCTTTATACCACGAAGGTGGCAAACAAATAAATAGCCTATGGACGCTTGCGACACTAGGGATTGACCCTGAAAAAACCTTAAACCTTATACCCTTTTTGAAAAATCCCATATTATAGTCTGTAGGGAAAACCTCGGCAGAATATAAATTGTGACGTTCATAATTGGTACAAATATTTCATAAGTTGCTGTTATTAAGGATTAAGACATTATGTCTTCGAAACCCACACATAATATATCATTTCTCTGTCATATGCATTAACAAACTTTCAGAGCAAAAAACATCATCATCATCATATCAGCCCTTCACTGTCCACTGGTGAACATAAGCATCGCCCTTGGGGGGTATTGTTAGTAGTTGCCACGCTTGGCAAACGCAATTAAGCTTTAGAGATGTTTTAAGAAGGACGTTGCTGCCCATCCCTCGCCCTCCCTTATTCGCTTCCTTTGATGTACCCACGAGAAAGGAAGGGTTGGCCTGTTCTATGCCGGAACCATACGGCCGAGCAAAATAGCTATGTACAAAATAATCTGAAATCTGAATGATACTCGTACAAAAATGATTATTTATTTTTCTATTGTGTGCTTACAACGTATTCTATCTCAGATAGCTTAAATCTTCCTCCATGAGACCTAACACAACGTTATGTTTTCAGATATTTATTATGCAATTTAGAATGGCAAACAAGCTGACGGCCCACCTGATGGGAAGTGGTAACCCCGTCGCCTATGCAAGAACAGTATAATGGACATTGCGAAGTTCACTGTAACACCCATGGTGTTCTTCATGCGTTATTATTCCTAATAACTATGGTACTATGCCTTTGTATCCATTATCCTTACTAATAGGAAAAACTTGATTGTTTGTTTGTTTTTAAAGGGATAAATTCAAAAACTACTTAACCAATTTAAAAAATTTTTCACTTGTAAATATTATCAGCGAGTAACAAATCTATGTATTGTTTTTGAAAATCCCTAGGGTCCCTAGTTCTATATACTTGAGAGAATTAGCGTTATTTTAAAGTAGTTTTCCCCAATTGAAATTGGATGTATTTTCTTTCTCAATAAGTTTGAAAAAACTATATTGTACTATACTAACTTGATAGTTAAAGTACAACAGGTAAGTAACGATAAGAGTTCAAAACATTTTGTCGTTTTGTATAATAAATTGTAATAAATATAATAGAAATTGTAATAGTTTTTTGTGAAACAAATTCTGAAACAAAACCGACGTCATTCATAGTAAAAATCAGTTATTTTGATTTCAAAATTAAACTACTAAACCAATTATAATTTCTAATGCAACTAATTTGAATGTATAATCGTTTAAAAGAAAAAAAAAATCAAATCAGTTTACAAATGACGGATTTCTGAGGTAACATACATAAAAAAATGTATCCGAATTGAGAATCAAATTTCAATCTGTATACCCCGTTTGTGCAGAATTTACTAAAAGTTTCCTTTTTATTGCTCACTGTTCATTTAAATTTATGATTATTAAAAGTCAGCTATGTTTATACCTACTTACTTTCAAAAACTGCAGATTCGGTTGTGAGTCCGATCATTGATAAGAAGAAACCTAGTATAGTATAATAATATATTATCGGGGGAGGGGGGGGAGGGGTTGCTAGCAATGGAGTTTGACAGCCCCATTGCTAGCAATATCACTATCAAATCGACCTCCACGTAGTTCCCCCTGGAAATCATCGTGAACAATTCTTGTTGAATTCGTCACGATGGGCTAACTGGCCTGCTTCATCCTCACCTATCATCATTCACTGGTGCCCCGCCGGTGTATACCGATAGCGCGGGTGGGGTTACCATTCCATTATCACCAAGAAAAAAAAATTTATTTATTTATTATCTGTGAAGAAACTTAAAAACTGTTGCGTGTTTTATCTTAATACGCCATTTAAAAGTGATATATTTAATTGTTTTTCTTACTTTTGAAATCGACACACATGAAGGAGCGGGCAAATAGCCAGTTTATAATATGGATTCAAGTGTCACATAATTAGGTTATGAATACTTACTTTAACTTATTAGTAAGGACCTATCCCTCATAAATACAGGATACCTATGTAGATATGAAATTATTATTATATAAAAGTCAATTTTGTAACCGTATTTCACGCAATTGAGAGATAAAGGATGTAATAAATCTATATATTATTAATTGTTTATACTATAATCGTCTATTTTATACAATAACATTAAATATAATAAATATATATAAGTATTATTTTATAGGTTTAAATTACCTCTAAACAATAGACACCCTACATCACGTACTGTCCGCGTCGCCGCATCGTTCAAATGAAAGCAATGTAACCAATTTATTTTAGTTTTTTATTTAAGTATACTTTTAAAAAACATGTAGGTAAATAACATAAACAAAATATACTAGGAAGCTAATTTAATTATTTACATCCGTGGAATATTAAAAAAAGTATTAACAATAAATAAAACAATCTGAATAAAAACATCAAAACAAATGTTCAAATGCCTTGAATTATGAATGTATGTATAACAAATAAATTATGTTTCTACATTATAATGGCATATCATTATAATGTTACATATATTAAATTTACATAAATTTTAATTAATTTAAATTTCTATAGCACACTGAACTACAAATAATGATCCATTAAGATTCCATTTTTCATACTTTTCGTGATTAATTGGGTGTTATCTTCATATTTATCGTTATATTTTAATTTAGTGTTTGGCATTGGCGAATCGTTATAAAATCTTCGCCTTAATTAAAATTACAATCTTTAATAGTAACATAACTGCGATTGTAAAAAATAATTACAGCTGTGTCTTCGCAATAGCTAATGAATACGTTTGTGCGCGATTGCCTATTTTATATTTCAATTGTCCACATCGACGCCCACCATTTGGACAATTAATATGGTTACATCTAATGAATGAAGTTTCACAATTTATTTAGGTGGGTAACTACACCTACTAGGTTTAGGTATGTTGTTTGTATGAGTAGGTAATTAGGTTTTAATAGTTTGCGTTATAAAAACATAGAAATGATATGAACAGTAGGATTACGTTGTTACAACGTGAATATTCTACCAGTTATATCAAAATTTAACTGAGGAGGTTTGAATCATTCGAAATAATTATACTATCAGTTAAATAACTTATAAAATTTAAACAAAATAATTAAGTCAGTGGATACCTTTTTTTTAAGAACAAAGTAAAAATTGATACGTTTTGTGAAAGTAAACAAAAAGTTCTTACAATTCAGAAACACTTATTAATAACATACCTAATATTTCACAAACAAAGCATAATTATTTATATTTACAATGGGGTAATAATAAATCTTAAAAATGTTGACTCTTGACACTTTTATTGCATTTACCAAGCAGAATATCGAATAAAACTTATAATTGTAACTAACCTGAATCATGAATGCTTCTCTCTATCTGCCTCACAAATAACCATCAAACGGCACTTAGCTGAGCGTCACTTCACAGTGCATATCACATCTAATCCTTCACTCTATACATGTAAGTTTGTACGTTCGACACATAAATATATTCGTGATAATATCGCGTACACACAAAGAGTAACGTTAACACGACCGCCTAACAGTCTGTGAGACCGGACACTGGGCTTCAGGCGCCGTAGAGCGGGATGAAAGATACGCGGGGGGACACATGCATGTTGAAGGATGCCAAAGGAATCGGGCAGATGCGACAGGACTCCGGAGAAAAGAGACGACTACACTGCGTGACATTTGAAAACTGTGTCTTTACAGCACCTTTGCAGTAGACACGGAAACATATTTCTTGGCGTTGTTGTTTCAGAGTTGATATTCGTTTCTAGTATTTGTAACTTACGCCATTATTTATGCTGCGAGCAAATGTCCTCTAATGTGTCGCGCAATTTGGAGCGGTAGCTTTAAAACTGCGCTAAATAGGGCCTAGTATTGCGCGCGTTGGGCTTGTCGCTTGGGTCGTCTGGGGGCAAAAGTGTTTGTCGCATTGTGTCGCTAGCAGAGCGGTGCCGCGGGCGTGCGAGCGAGACGGGTGCATGTGGGTTGTGGGGTGGGAGGAAGACAGGGAGGTGTCACCACGGCGCTTTTTAGGGTCCTAAGCCGGATAAGCACAAACAGCAGCGCGGCGCTGCGAATTTTGTGACGCGATTTGCGCAAATGTGGCTTTTTTAGTGATGCGCTAGTTATCTGTGCGCGTTACTAAATAAGTCACTTATGCAAAATATTTGTCTACAGGTATATTGTGTAGATAATTTATATACCTGTCCATTGTATACATTCTGTAGTAATATAAATACAATATTACAGGCATTTGATTTACAACGAAGGCACTGCAATATATGTTTTACTAATTTATTATAGGCATACTAGGAAATACAGATATACTGATTACATATAATTTATATTCAAAACACACTATTAATAATATTAATTTTAAAAACTTATTTTTATCTTTGGGAACTGTGAGGTTAACTCTTTAACTTTATAATAGAAGTTTTAATATAACATATTAAAACTTGTAGATTTATTTAGGTTTTAAATAGATAGTTCTGATACTAATATGCTTACATATATATCTACACATACACTTATCATATTTAAGAGGTAAGTAATAAATAATATGAAATAAATTTTTTCCAATCAACAAGTTATGACCTAGAAAGATGTAAATCTAAAACACAAAAAAATGTCACAAAAACGCAAACCCATTATTGCGTCCTTCAAAAATCCATTTGAAAATCATTTCGACTTTGTCACTTGTCATCACATCAATGAGACCCTTTATATAAAAAATGACTTTCGTGCACAAGTGGAGTTAGTCCATTTTGGTACAATGCAGTAGCGCCACCATACAATTACAATAATGTCACCGTAACAACGGATTTGTCACTGCCGAGCCCACAGGGCGCGCTTTGTCGGCTGATCGCAAACCGAAAATCCTTTTTGTTATTTTTTTATTTTTATTTTGCGATGTCACTGGCCACCCACATAGAGATGTGCGTGAAATGAGCTACAGGATTAGCGACTGATATCCGATTATTGCTTATTTCGTTTTGCTGCATGAATGCACACAGTTATTTTGTTTTTTGAGATATGCCGTTTTTACTGGCACACTTCGTAATAGGTAATTACAAATATTTTATTTTTGAATAAGTAATAATAATTGGTTTGGTATGTTACCTACATATACCTACCTTATAGGTAGGGGGTGATGGGGTAAATATGTAGTAATGGGGATTAGTAGCCCCACCGCTAGCAATGTACTCTGTCAGATCGACCTCCTCGTGGTTCCCCCTGGAAACCATCGTGTTTGATTTATTGTAAGATTCGTCACGGTGGGCTAACTGGCCTGCTTCGTTCTCACCTATCATCCCTCACTGGTGCCCCGCCAGTGTATACGTTTGTGTTTATTTGTTATAACAAAATATATTGTACTATTTACAGGGGAAAAGGAGTATTAGTAATGAGGTTTAAAAGTCTCATTACTAGTAAAAATAAATTATTTTAAGAAGCAATATTAAAGATTTGATAAAATTCCTATCGAACTAATCTGTAAGTATAACCTTTCATATAAAAAAAATCCATATCGGTTTACAACTAAGGTAATAAAAAAAATACAACCGAATTGAGAACCTCCTACATTTTGAAGTCCATTAAAAATAATTAAAGTTGTAGTCATTGATATTTACTTACAGTAAGTGGATGTTATTATGTAATAAGTACACACAAGCTCATGTCAGAAGTTTGTGTTTCCTCTTGTTAATGAGGGGGAAAAATGCAATTAAAGAATTACTCTTCGAAATAGCAACAGTAATTACATTGTTGAGTGTATTAACGTGAGCAGAAAAATAAATACACATTACTTGAGCACCTTTTAAAACAGGTACGTAGGTTACGTAGTGTTATGTTCTTTTGAACCGACTTCAAATAGGAAAAGGACTGCGCGTAGAATTGAATAAAATTCTAATAATCCACTAACAAGTGGCATGGGCTTCCCCAAATAACAGTTAATTAAATATAGATACGAATATAGTGTAAGGAGCCTTTATGTATAACGAAGGCGGCCTAAAAACTCTTGACATCAAAGGACACCCCTGACAATAGTTTTATCAATACCTACATAGTAGTCAGTGATTAAATATATTTCAAACTAGCTTCTTACCCGCTACTAACACTATGCGTAGATTTCAGAAGTAGAAAAACCCATTAAATAGTCCACTTTGGAATGGCCAATTAAGATAAAATTTAGGTAATAGGACCTTCAAGAAAGCAACTATGAAAACCGTATCCAATTTGGTGTAGCAGTTTTCGCTTGATACTGGAACAAACGTCATTATCCTATTAGTTTTTAACTGTCCACTGTTGAACATAAGTCTCCCCCTTGGGAGATTTTGCCAGTAGTTGCCACGCTTGGTAGGTGCGTTAGGCAGTTAGGCTTTAGAGATATTTGAAGAGTGACGCTGCTGCCCATTCCTCGCTCTTCCTTAGTTGCTTCTTACAACACATACAGGAAAGGAAGGAATGGCCTACTCTATGTTAGATCTACACGGCTAACAAACTCACAAATAGACATATTAAGACATATGTCATATTAAAACATTTTAAGTACATTATTTTTTCTTAAATATCTCTCATGTACAGATGTCGTCTGGTTATAATTTTATTATATTAGCAAGATAATGTACGAGAATCATTCAACTTCAAGGCAGACACACGGGACGGTCCGTACCTTGAAGTCTGTAATGTGATTATAATAGTAGCGCGCGCCCACAAGTGCCCACACATTGGGAACATGTCATTTGTTACACAATTACTATTGTTTTCATATTTTGACTGATGCACGCTAATGTCTTCAGTTTATCGGGTGCCATTTGCTTAAGTGTGCTCTCTGATTATAGCTTTTGATCACAATATAATTTAGGTTGTTCAAAAAGATTATGTGTTTATAAAATTAGGACTTTTGTTTTGTATCTACAGTTGTTTTTATTATTGCGTTTGAGGTTATATTTTGTATAAATTTTATATTTACACAGTGTAAAATGTATTGTAAAGAAATATTGTATAATAAATATTATGTAATTTTAAATAGTCTATACCTATATTTATTAACCCTTCTTTGCATACTGGTGGAAAATTCCATCATAACACGCCTAAAACTTATATAAAAGACCAAGTTCACTTTAAGTTGATTGTGTCTGGATAATTTTTTAATGTCCATTGCAGAAAAAAAAACATAGCTGTCAAATTTATTGTTTTAACCATTTTTTCTTTAATTTTAAACATGAATTATATCACTTTGTTTATATGACTTTGATTTCACCAATAAAAAAATCATGTAAAGAAGGGTTAAGTTATATCTCTATTGGGATATTAAAAATGATTAATTACTTAATGATGTATTTATTAATTTTTGTAACTACGACATCTCAAACAAAATATAAAATCAATAATAATGAAATCATAAAAATAGACGCTTAAGTGCAAAAAAATACTTAGGCATTTTTTAAATTGTACCTATATTTACTTACTGAAATTGAATAATATATTTACTATAATGTTAGGCTTATTATTTTAAATTAAATAGTTGTCTGTTATAAAAAAAATAACAACAAAGACATCTTTATCACAACATCTGTGATCCGAATTAAAACGCAGCAAATTAGCTCGACTATCGTTTTCAAGATCGCACGACGCGGACGGACACGCAATAAACTATATAACGATTCTTTTCTACCGACCCGACGCATAATAAAAACGGAAAAAAAAAACCGTCACCTGTCGTGTCATTTGGTTCCAATAAACATACCGCCAAAGGAAAAAAAGAAACAAAAACTTCAAGAAAACACAAAGTTTAGAAAAAATCGAATCGCCGAAAACTGGACTTATGACAATTTGTCGTTGCGACGTAACGCAACTGTTTAAAGAAAAATGACTCTTATTTCCTATAAACGGTAAGCATATTCTCGTTTGCAATTAAAATTATTGTTTTTACTTTACAAGGGACAATTTTTTCCATTAATCGTTTTGACTGACGAGAATTTACGATGTGAAACTTTACTAGCGAAATAAAACCGTGGTCCGACTTCATTAGTTGTGTTTTTTTTTAAACAATGGCATTGCATTGTTGTATGATAATATAGGGTTTTGAGAATGTCCCATTGTATTCTTGATGATACCTTCCGAGTTTAGAAAATTGATATCTAAAAAATAGAATAGAAGTGAGAGAAAAAATGTGTTAGTCTGTTACAGCTATTCGGTAGGTATGTAAAGTACTCACTATATTTTAATTTTCAAAATCTTTTAACTTATTTTATAGATCGCTGACGAATTCGAATGCGAACAATATTTGGAATGTAAATGGTCGCGTACAGTACCTACGGTTTCGAGGAGTTTCTTCTCACCAATGCTCAGGATGTGGAATGAATTCTCTGCCGAGGTTTTTCTTATTTATATATAGACTAAAGTATAGGGTCTATAAAAAACACTTATTTAAGAAATTTTTTAAGAGTCGGAAATGCACATGTGATGATACTGGTAATGATACAGGTGAGCGTTTGCTTTAGCTGTATTAACTGTTCACCATCACCTATCTACACTTGTGTA